CTTGGTCATTTGTCTTCCCTCATCTAAATTCACTATAAAGTTATTTTTATTGCATGACTGAGATTCTGTGGGTAAAATTAGCCTGCATAATAACAATCATTACAGCCAGCGTTAACTTTAGAAAATTATACAAAAGTGTGCAAATTTATAAGTGGAAAGTTATACTAGAAGTTTGACACTTGTTCGGAGAAAATAAAACTCAAAAAGTCCCAATATTAAGCATATTTGCACAAGTCAAAGACAAGTTTTGCCCACTGTCAATTCATTTTACAATTCATATTCTGTGAAGCGCTTTGAAATGTCTTGAAGATGTGATAGCACTATATCAAATGCAAGGATTATTATAACTCACTTTTGTCTGTGTACTTTAGCTCTGCTATTGACCACTTAAAGTTAGTCTCAAAATCCTCTGCATTTCCTTTGCAACAGCAGAGTTGATTTGAACAGTTCACTTTAACCTATCTTCATAGATAGATGAAGGTAACAATGGCAAGTAAACACAAAAAGCAATTTCAAGGGAAAGTCAGAAAATTAAGTCATCAATAATCCAGAATCTAAAATAGTGAATTTGCAGCAAGTTTCACTCTGGAATATGTCAGACGTATACATGACAACAGCTGATAGTTTTTTTTAAGCAAAAAGAGGTGGTGTTTTCTGCACTCAAACTTATAATTAAAATAAGCATGGTGCAGAACACAAAATATCAAGAAAGACAATGGGTTGATTTTCTTTACACATTAACCACAATTGGTTCTTTCAAAGAAGCTCCCAATTTAGGTTATTGCCATTTCAAATAAAATTTACCAATCCTCCCAAAGTCAACACAGTCCTAAATAGAGTAAATTAACATATATAGTAATTTTGAAAATAAATACAGTAAAGATCCGAAACTTGACTTACCAAGCCCCATTTAGGACTAGATTTCAATCCTTGCTCATATCACTTTAAAAATACACTTGCCAATCTCGAACTAGTGATGTTTTTGATTGCGTAAAGAACTAGTCTGCAGACCTTAAGTAGCTTGCTATCACTCACACCAGTTATTTTGACATTAATAAAATGATCGCAACACTACAAATAGGAAATAAAATTTCTTCTGATGGACTATTTTAAATTTTCCACCATTTTATAAAGAGTAAGCGATGATCATACTGTAAAAAAATCAATCTTTTTACTGTGTTAACTCAGGTTACAGAATATCAAGTAGCTGAACCTTCTGCAATTTCAACTTTTTGATATCTGTTTAAAAGCAAAATTTACTGAGTATACTCAACAAAGTATTCATCGGAGTCAGATAGCATTTCTAAAGTGAACAAAAGTGCAACCAAAGGAAGTTGTGTCTTTACTTTGCATATTAAAGCATATGTTGTACAGTGGACAGGAATGAACAAATATTGCACACAGCACAACATTTTTGTGTTATTGGGCCAAAGTAAGAGTGGAAAGGGCTTAGGGAATATGAACAATTTCATCCCAGGAGGCAAAATGCATGAAAGGATTTTTAAGAGAAGAACAGATCTGATGTGCCAAATAATCTTTTCCCATTCCGTGCCTTTATGTAGGGTCAAATGAAAATTCACAAATTGGTCAACAACTTTCATAGCAATATAAAAGCATTTAAAAAAATTAAAACAGTTCATAACTTCTTTAATTCCACTTACCTAGATATTGTAATATGTGAAGGTTTTGGTTATTATTTTAATGCAATATTTAGCCAAGATCAAGATAAGTCTATGCTGTGAAATTTCTAATTCCTAAATCAAGAAGATTAAATGCTCTTTAAAGGTAACCACAACTGCATGGAATCACATTTTTAATGTAATTAAGTATTTTGTCAATACGAGAGAAGCTGCACAATATTCAACTCCTAACAAAAAAAAGTTAAATCTCATAGGAAAACTTCTTCAGTTCATGTAACTTCTATGCAATTCGGATGCAACTTTCCTATTTTTCCAGATACAACCTTCCTATATAAAAAGGTGCAACTCCCACCCCTATGAATTGCATTTGGAGATAACACACACTTGGAGATCATGGGGAAACATAAGGGAAGCTCTACAAAATTCAACTGTTAGCAAAGAGACTTCTTGAAAATTCCTTCCAGTGTCAGCAGAACTCACATTCACCAAATGTCATTTGGGGCCTCCCAAAAATGCTTTATAAGTACATTACTGTATTCCACAGAAGTATTTTCTTGGAAACAAAGTACATTAGCATGTTCCAGTGAAAATACTTCAAGATAATCCTCCATTCAACAATAAAAATGATTAAAGTAACTGTAAAATTCTACACAATTTAAGATACAGTATTCCCTGGCATCATTTTTGCTGGCTTAAATAAAATCTTGAGTACATGATATGAATATTTGATTGCTGAGATTTATTTCTAATCACCCAATTCCTTTAAAATAAGAATAACAAAATCTTCACTGAGCATACAATCCACTACCTCAAATACAACCATCGTGTCACATTAACTCTAAGGGTAATGTAAACAGCACTAACTCGCCCAATTTAAAAACATCTTGTGGCAACAAATTGTATGTTTCCATATAACAATTTAAATAGTGAGTTTTATTTGGTACAAATGAGAGAAAACATAAAGCTTATTTTCATTTAAAGCTCATTTAAAAATCTAAATAAAACGTTTTTCCTACTTAAATGTTGACTTCAGTACACATGAAACTACCAGTTTCAGCTTGGAACAGAATATCAACAGACATACTCAATCACAGTTCATCTTTAAAAAGTTAAAAAGCTACCCATTACTGTGGGCCATTTTGCCAAACCTAAAATATTTTCAATTAGTGCCATACCAGCACATGACAAAACTATTTTGCCTCCTAAGTATAACACATTTTTGCTTGTTAGAGTAAGGTCAATGCTCACTCAATATTCAAGCACAACCACAAATAAGGTTTCCGGTGTATTGTCAAGTCTTATAGGAAGCGCCTGTCATTTCCTTCAAAGGTGAATGAAAAATATTTGTTTTAAATAAATGTTATTCTAGCATCTTTCAACTCGCTTACAGCGCAGTCTGGAGCGAAAACAAAGTATTCATCGACAGAAAGCGTTTCCGGTCAGTGTCAAAGAGAATATTACTAAGATATTCTTAAGAATAGCCCCAACATTATAAATACAGCAAAGTGGATTACAGAGGAATTCAGCAGTCAGGCTATCCATAATAATATAATCGCCAGCTATTCATTATGTTGGCATTTCGATCAATGTGGGGGGGGGGGGGGGGGGAATGGGATGAATTGGGACAGCACTTCCCTCTACTTCCTGTGCCTCAACCCGACAGATCAATTCTAACGCGTCCATTTCAAAGAAAACAACCCAGAGAGAGAGAGAGAGGAGAGAGGAGAGATGTAAAATAAAAGAAGTTTTTTTTTGACGACAAAATAATAATAATAAAATAAATATTACAACCTTCTCTTTATTGACTTGCTCCCTTGCGCTTGGGGTGTGTGTGTGGGGGGGGGGGGTGTGTGTAGTGGGGGTGTGTGTGTGTGGGGTGTGTGTGTATGGGGTGGGGGGTGTGTGTGTGTGAGGTGTGTGTGGGTGTAGTGGGGGGGGGTGTGTGGGGGGTGGGGGTGTGTGTGGGGTGGGGTAGTGGGGTGTGCGTGTGTGTGTGGGGGGGTGTGTGTGTGGGGTGTGTGTGTATGGGGTGGGGGGTGTGTGTGTGAGGTGTGTGTGGGTGTGGGGGGGGGGTGTGGGGGGGGGGGTGTGTGTGGGGGGGGTAGTGGGGTGTGCGTGTGTGTGTGGGGGGGGTGTGTGTGTGGGTTGTGTGTGGGGTGGGGTGTGTGGGGGGTGGTGTGTGGGGGGTGGGGGTGTGTGTGTGTGTGTCCTGTCACAGCGGGGAAGAGCTCCCATTGTCCCAGGAAACTGTCACGATCAAGGCCGAAAGGATCTTTTTTTTGAAAAAAACAGGACCGAAACAGTTTGGCGATTAAAAAAAACGCACAGCACACAAAAAAAAATGGGGTGAAATATGAAACATCAACCCCTGTTTTTTCGAAAAAAAAGCAGGCAAGGCGAATAAATAATGCAGAGCGCAATCCCTGAGAGTTTATATTGTGTATATTACATATATATATATATATATATATAGATAAATATGTGTGTATATATAAGTATGTGTGGTGTGTGGGTGTCCACACATATATGTGTGCGTGTGTATATATATATATATGTATATATATATATGTGTATGTGCGTGTGTGTGTATATATATCTATACGTATGTGTGTGTGTATACATGTGTGTGTGTATACATGTGTGTGTGTGTGTATACATGTGTGTGTGTGTATACATGTGTGTGTGTGTGTATATATATATCTATGTGTGTGTGTGAGAGAGATTGGAGACCGACACAAGGCCCGGAGTTGTTTTTTCTCTCCCCCTCCCTCCTGGTCTCATGGTTTGTACGGAACCCGATGAATATTAATCAAAGCGGTGGAGGGAGGGAGGGAGGGAGAGGCCTGGTCCCGGGTTGACATCCGCAGAAGCCTGGGCCCTCGATTTGAACCGATGCCTCTCTCTCTCCTATTGTGTTGTTGGCGTTGGGTGTCGCGGCGGTGGTTTTGCTGACGGCCCGGGGTTTGTGAGAGGGGGGGGGAGAGAGTGTGGGGGGGGAGAGAGAGGGGAGAGAGGGGGGGAGGGGGAGAGAGAGAGGGGGAGAGAGAGAGGGGAGAGAGGGGGGGAGGAGAGGGGGGAGGGTAAAGGAGTGGGGGGGAGAGAGGGGGGAGGGGGAGAGAGGGGGGGAGGGGAGAGGGGGGGAGGGGGAGAGAGAGGAGGGGGGAGAGGGAGGGAGAGAGGAGGGGAGAGTGGGGGGGAGAGAGAGGAGGGGGCGAGAGGGAGAGAGAGAGGAGGGGAGAGAGGGGGAGGGGAGGGGAGAGGGGGAGAGAGGAGGAGGGAGAGGGGGGGGGGAGAGGAAGAGGGGAGAGAGTGAGGGGGAGAGAGAGAGGGGAGGGGGAGAGAGAGAGGCCTTGTACTCACGGGAAAGGCTCGTATCCTCATCTTGGTGTCTTTCTTGGTCCCGGCCTTGCCCAGGTTTGACATGGTTCGTGTCTTGGACCGTCTCCCAACCCCCTCACATTAGATAGACAGAGAGGAGTCACTTTTTTTAACGGAGAGATGGTTGGGGGGGGGGAGGAAGGAAGGAAGGAGAAGAGAGGAGAGAGAGAGGGGGGGGGGAAGAAGGAAGGAAAGAGAGAGAGAGAGAGAGAGAAAAGTGGAGGGGGGGGGGGGAGTAAATGAGAGAGAAAAAAAGTAATTAAAAAAAAGCGCGGTGGGGAAGGGGGGACAGAGAGGGAGAGGGGGGGAGGGAGGGAGGAGGAGGAGGGGGAAAAGGTTCTGGTTAAAGATAAAGAGATATATATCTATATATATATATATATTTTTTTAAAAATCTACAATTGGTTTTAATTAAGAGACACACACACACTCCCCCCACCCCACACACACACACCCCCACACACACACGAGCCCGAGCCCCCTACCCCACACGGCCGACGGTTCAGGTCGACCCCCCCCCACCCGACCCCCGACCCTCCTCCTCCCCCACTCACCAACCAACCAACCAACCAATTCCCCCCCCGCCAACCCCTCTCTTTTTCAGCACAAACCCCGCAGCGACTCCTCCTCCTCCACCATCAAACTGCGGGTTAATATATATATATATATATCTCGTGAGAGAGAGAGAGTGAGAGAGAGTGAGTGAGAGAGGTGTGTGTGTGTGTGTATTTACAAAAAAAAATCTGTTGTTGAGGAGGAGGAGGAGGGAAGGAGGAGGAAGGGAAGGAGAGAGAGAGGGAAGGAGACGCAGAGAGAGGGGGAGAAAAAACAACCCCAGAGAGGGAGGGAGAGAGGGAGAGAGGGAGCGCGACAGGAAAGTGAGAGGAGTGAGAGAGAGAGAGAGAGGGAGAGAGGCGCTGTTCGGCTTCAATGGCGGCCGAGGCCCTCTCAGTGCGCAGCCGACACTCTCGCGATAACTCGGCTCGACTCGACCCCCCCCCCCCACCCCCTCCTCCTCCCGACTCCGCCCCCTTCCCCTCCTCCCCCCTCTCACTCACTCCCACCCCTCTCTCTCACTCACTCACTCCCACCCCTCTCACTCACTCACTCCCACCCACTCACTCACTCCCACTCACTCACTCCCACCCCTCTCACTCACTCACTCCCACTCACTCACTCCCACCCCTCTCACTCACTCACTCCCACTCACTCACTCCCACCCCTCTCACTCACTCACTCACTCCCACTCACTCACTCCCACTCACTCACTCCCACCCCTCTCACTCACTCACTCCCACTCACTCCCACCCCTCTCACTCACTCACTCCCACTCACTCACTCCCACTCACTCACTCCCACCCCACTCACTCACTCCCACTCACTCACTCCCTCTCACTCACTCACTCACTCCCACTCACTCACTCCCACCCCTCTCACTCACTCACTCACTCTCACTCACTCACTCCCACTCACTCACTCACACCCCTCTCACTCACTCACTCCCACTCACTCCCACCCCTCTCACTCACTCACTCCCACTCACTCACTCCCACTCACTCACTCACACCCCTCTCACTCACTCACTCCCACTCACTCACTCCCACCCCTCTCACTCACTCACTCCCACTCACTCACTCCCACTCACTCACTCACTCACTCACTCCCACCCCTCTCACTCACTCCCACTCACTCACTCCCACTCACTCACTCCCACCCCTCTCACTCACTCACTCACTCCCACCCCTCTCACTCACTCACTCCCACTCACTCACTCACTCCCACTCACTCACTCACTCCCACCCCTCTCACTCACTCACTCCCACTCACTCACTCCCACCCCTCTCACTCACTCACTCTCACTCACTCACTCACTCACTCACTCCCACTCACTCACTCACTCCCACCCCTCTCACTCACTCACTCCCACTCACTCCCACCCCTCTCACTCACTCACTCCCACTCACTCACTCCCACTCACTCACTCACACCCCTCTCACTCACTCACTCACTCCCACTCACTCACTCCCACCCCTCTCACTCGCTCACTCATTCCCCGCCTCACTCCTTCCTCCTCCCCTCACTCACTCACTCCTCCCCTCCCACTCACTCACTCCCACTCACTCACTCCCCCCCACTCACTCACTCACTCACTCACTCCCACCCCTCTCACTCACCCACTCCCACTCACTCACTCCCACCCCTCTCACTCACTCACTCCCACTCACTCCCACCCCTCTCACTCACTCCCACTCACTCACTCCCACCCCTCTCACTCGCTCACTCATTCCCCGCCTTCCTCCTCCCCTCACTCACTCACTCACTCCTCCCCTCCCACTCACTCACTACCACTCACTCACTCACTCCCCCCCCACTCACTCTCACTCACTCACTCCTCCCCTCCCACTCACTCACTCACTCACTCCCACTCACTCACTCCCACTCACTCACTCCTCCCCTCCCACTCACTCCCCCCCCCACTCACTCACTCCTCCGCTCCCACTCACTCACTCACTCCCACTCACTCACTCCCACTCACTCACTCCTCCCCTCCCACTCACTCACTCCCCCCCCACTCACTCACTCCTCCCCTCCCACTCACTCTCTCACTCCCACTCACTCTCACTCATTCCCCCCCACTCACTCACTCACTCCCCACTCACTCACTCACCCCCCCCACCCCAACTCACTCACTCCCTCCTCAACGCCCCCCTCAACAACCACAACACACACATCCACACAGTCGATTCACTTTACAGTGTATTCCTGCGAAGGCGTCTCGCAGACGGCCGTAAGACGCTGTGTTATTATTATTTGTTACAACTAATATTAATATTTATTATCAACAACAATAACCACAACAACCGACCGACTTGCATTTACACAGCGCCTTTCACGTCGGAAGGACGTCCCAAAAAACGCCAGACAATTAGTAGCCTTTACCCAGAAAGGGGATGGGTGGGGGAGAAGGATTTTCCCGGAGCGCTTGACAGTAGCGGAGTCCGACCCCGAGCTAGGGAGGGAGGGAGGGGATCATAAATAATAATAGTAATGATAATCCTTGCATTTGATAAAGCGTTTATCACGTCTTCACATAAAAGACAATGAGGTTTTTTATTTGCATGACTTTGTTGAACAAAGTCTTTGGTTCACTATTTGTGTTTTGTTCAAATGCACAAAAAAAAACGTTTCAACTATTTGGAAGTGGCTTAAAAAATATGGAGGATTACTGTATTGCCGTATCTTTTTGCACTGTTTAACGAGGTACTTATAAATCAAAAGTATTAATTTGTTTATTGACAGAAAATGCTCCTCATGCTTTGACGCAGTATGAAACTTACGATTTCTCACCTTGTCATCAGGTGCGTGTCTTTAAAATAAAATGACCGACAAGACAGAAGAACAGAGAAAAGAAGGGTGTGGGAAAGATGATTCAGAGGGGTGAAGGTTTCTGTGTATCATAAACACCTGCATGGACAAGTCAGGTCGATCAACCTGTTTCCATGCAGTAACATCCTTTTGAAATAATCCTTGCTTTTGGTATCGTGCCGTTCACATTGGGAGCTTGTCCCAAAGTGTATCACAGGAAAGTGTAGTGACTGTGTATTTTGTGGGTAAACACGGCAGCCATTTTACATACAGTAATAAATTAAGAATCCTTGCGATTGACATAGGCCTTATCCCGTCTTCGAGACGTTTCAGAGCGTTTCACAGAAAATACTGTGAAGTGAATCGACTGTATATTTTGTGGGCAAAACGTAATGTCCCAAAAATAGCCATGAAGCACCCAATTGGCCAAGACACGGGGAAAGTATTCCTTCACAGGAAAATAGCAAAACGTCTAAAGCAAAACCAGAGAAATATTAACTGAAGAAATAAAATCTTTAAAATATAGGCCATTAAATCCTTTGAGGCTCTTTGTCATAAATCGCATCAACTATGTGCTTCTATGTCACACATCAAAGAAATCAACTGATGCAATATCCTTACTGTTGAAAAAGACTGACTGCCAAAGAAGACCGAACATATTTTTGAGGAACTACACAAAGAAACATTACCACTGAAAACTGTAACTGACAGTGTATGAATTGGAGTTGATCTTCAAAAGAATATTTTATGTGAAGCAATAAATAATGCAATTATAAGAAGGAAACTCGGAGAAACAGAAAATAGGGAAACAATTTTGTTAAAATTCATTGATTAGTACATATTGCAATTAATACTAGATAGTACATGTGATTGAGAACGTTCAATACTCAAATTTAAATATCTATAATTCAAAATACATGCACAACAGTCCTGAAGGGAAGAGCATTTTTATTGCTGTACAGTACTTCAACATTCCTGTGCTCTACAGATTGGTATTCATATTTAAGTTGATTATTTTCGAGTGCTTGAACAATTCATCTGAGTAAAAGCACATTTAAAAATAGTACAAACAGTGGTTAAGCATTTCACGTGCATGATCCTATCAAACCTGTCTATGAGCTAATATTTGCTGCTAAATTTAAATGTTTTGGAATGCTATCTTGCCTTTGACCCTCCTTTCAGAAAACAGGACAATCAAAAGTCTGAGGTACATTCATGTTTGAATTTGCAACCCTACCAAAACCTTTACAATTTTCTCTCTTTCACCAAAGGGTGAAAGGAGGCCATTTGTCACCTCTGTTTCTACCCCCGGCTGAAGTCAGCGCACAACTGATTGTTGATGCTGAGGCTTTCTGCTTTGTTTGGTTTAGTGTACCATCAGGTGATGCCTTCCCTCATTAAGCCATTGGGGATAATTATTCTGTTAAGGGTGAATACATTAAAGCGTGAGTCACGTGGGAGGAGAAAGACTCAGAGTCAGAAGGTAAACAGATACTGCGAGAAACCTATGGTATAATTAGAAAGACGCATACAGAGATTTGAAATAATTGTTAATTTATTTCTGTTGCATAGGTACATGTGAAGTTAACCGGACATCTGTAATTAAAATAATGTGTTTAATTTTTTCTTTTGTCTGTCTGACTATTAGATTTCGAAGCAACAACAATAAGATTACATTTGTATAGCGCCTTTCACGTCGGGAGGATGTCCCAAGGCGCTGGAAACCTGAAACCCTGCAAGCCAAACCTCTAACGGGTATCATGGTCC